GGCAGATGAGAGGGTGGGGGGGGCAGAGGAACGCTCTCTTGATTTCATTTCTATCATACAGTAAAGCTTCTGTGGAATGTTCCAGTCAAAGTGAACGACTGAACCTTGACCTCTGATGGACCAAACAACACCAGCCGTTCATCTGGAGCCGTTCATCAGCTCTTCTGTTGTTAATATTTCTAGACGTTACTGATCAACGTTAGCTCAATGGTACAGAAGGTGTGTGTGATTGTGCCACTTTAGTTGGAGACTGCTGATTGGTCGGGCTGCTGATGATGTCAGCGTCAGTATGGTACAGAAGGTGTGTGTGATTGTGCCACTTTAGTTGGAGACTGCTGATGATTCGGGCTGCTGATGATGTCAGCGTCAGTGTTCAGGTGACTGTTGTTTCTTTTTACAGTAGAGACAAACGTCGATGACTGTGGTCACATGACCGAGGCCCCGCCCACATCACAGAGCGTACAATAACAAGAGATGATGAAAGAGGCCCATGAAGCAGAACACACACACACACACACACACACACACACACACACACACACACTCTGACAGGATGGTGTAAACAGAACCTTCATATTTACTTTAGGTGGAAACTGAACTGAAACACTTTCTATTACCACACTAACAATGACTTCATACACACACACACACACACACACTGACACACACTCAGGTCCAGTACCTTCCTGTGAGGCGTGTGGTTCTGAGTCATAGCCAGGAGGAAACTGTGAGCTCCTCTCAGCTGGGTCTTCTCCCAGAGTGAAGACAGTCTCTGCACACAGACGTCCCTGCTGGACAGAGGGATGCTGGACACACTCTGGGACGGAGACACAGGGGGGGAGGTGGGGGGGGACAGGGTGATGACGGTGAAGTGTGTTTTCTCCCCTCCATCATCAGTTCTATCACTCAGTGACTCAGTGACTCTGACTGATGCTGAGGTGTTGGTGTTGTTGTTGTTGTTGTTTGTTGTTGTTGTTGTTTGTTGTTGTTGTTGTTGTGGTTGTTGTTGTTGTTTGTTTGTTTGTTGTTGTTTGTTTGTTTGTTTGTTTGTTTGTTCAGGGGGTGAGGGGGGGGGGCCACCTGCAGGTGCAGCAGCATCATCTGGATCCACAGGTGAGGCTGCTGACTGGTCAGTTTGAAGCAGGACTTGGTGTAGAGACAGTAACGTCCCTTCAGAGGACAGGAGAAGGACAGCTGGGCCACGCAGCCCTGGGTCGTGTCTGTCAGGGTGAAAACAAGACAAAGAGTTCACAGTTATCTGTTGAACTGAAGCTGAGACCTCTCTCCCTCCCCCCCACCCCCCTCTGGCTCGTGAACATATGGACTCATGTGGAGACATACTTGGAGGGTGATTCATGCCGTCCACAGCCAACACTCACTGAACCTCACTCTGTTCCAGCTAACACCCCCTGCAAACCTGCAGCTCACTGCCAAGGTGAACAGGTCAGTGAAGGCACCACGTGGAGACGGTCGGTCGGTCGGTGTCTTCAGTGGAGGACGACACGTCAGACCGTCACCAGGTCCAGTCTTTGTTGAACAGCACGGGGCTGCGGGCCGTAGGTTGTTAACTAGGTTCCATCGTTACCATCCAGCCTCTGCAGCAGTGCAGGGTTTTGGGGGAATCCCCCCCTCACCCCCTCCTTCACCCCCCCT